TGCCTCTCCAAACTTGACTTCTCCAAGTCAAATCCCGCTGAACATCCCAGATAAGGAAACTGCCCAATTCCCTATCAAATTATAGCGCCCGTGTAGCGCAGTGGTAGCGCGTGTCCCTCCTAGTCATTCAGGAGTGAGGATGAGGCCGTCGGTTCAATCCCGACCTCGGGTGCTTTCAATTTTTTTTTGTTGTGGGAACAATAAATCAAAACAGGTGGCTATGTTCCCGAGGTGTCTGCGTGCACTCGTGGTTAAACGATGTGCAAGCTGGTCGTTCATACTTAAACCGTAAGACGCCCCATGAAAGACGCGCAAAAAGCGACTTAGCGAGAAAACTTGTGTCATGCTACCGACAAAAAACAAGGACATGTGACGAAAACCGAGATGGCACTGCTTCACCAGCAAACCCAAATAAAGACAAAGAGACGCAGTCGCAAATTGAGAGCAACTTATTTTTTCAAATATCATCGCTGCGGCAAATGGATTTTCCTAAGTTGCACCACTGCTTGGCAGTTTGAAAAAAGAATTATTGAACGCAATACTTGGATTGGAACACACTACGTTTCTTCGAGACCGTACAAGAAAAGCAAAAAAGAAAAGAAAACGCGGTTAGAAGCGTCACGGAGTGCCTGACATGTGATTAAAACAGTAGAACAATTCTCATTGGATGTTTTGCCGCTCGATCGTACTGTGCTGCAGCGCGTCTTTGCTCACGCGCCAATAGAAGTCGGCGTACTCATGGTGCCCGATCTGCGCCATAAACTCCTCGTCGTGAGTGATGATGATCAGCTGGAAGTTCTTCTGTGCCCGGCGCAGCTTGATGATGCTGCAACAGCTTCCCGTCAGCATGCATGATACCTGTGAAGCGATTGTACGCGCATGACTCACTTCGACAACGATTCGGCCAGCGCTTCCGAATTGTCGCGATCCAAGTTGGTTGTCGGCTCATCCAACGCAAGGATTCCGCAATTCAAACAAAATGTTTCCGCCAGTGCAAGGCGAATGATCAAGCATGCCAGCACCTTTTGCCCGGCGCTGCACCGCCCGCGCATATCCAATTCAGTTTGCTCTTTGATCATGACAACCTGTTCGTAACATGTTACAATACTTAATCCAGGAATTTGACTTACCCTGTAGTTGTAAGACCTATTTTTCGCCGAGTTTTCGTTGTCGGACCGTATTTCAATTGTCTCAATGTCTGGGAAAGGACCTTGAGATCAAATTTACGCAAAAACCGCAAGATTACCGTTTCCTCTATAAGTGTTCACCCACAGCTCCCTTATGATTTTGTTGATTTCTTCCATCTTCATGGTATGATACCGCATGATAGCACTTTGAATATGATTAGCAGATAAATTTGGAATACAAAAAAACCTTTCCAATGCTTTGCTGTATTTTTCAAGATCTTGAACCGCCAGTGATTCAGTTTTGAGTTTGATAATCTGCTTTTGATGCTTTTCCACAATATCCGCAAAATCTTTGGTTAAATCCCGCTCAATTCTGTTGAACTGCTCCTCCATTTGTTTCAACTCCCCAGCCAGTCCCGCAAGTTCTTCACACAACTTTTCGTACTTGGCCGTTAGCTTTTTTCTCTGATAGACAAAGACAGATAAAGTACGTTGTTGCAAGAAACAATTCATCAAACCTGTGCTTGGACAGTAGCTTTGTCAAACTTTTCGGCCTCTTTCTGATACTCGGCAATTTCTTTTTCGACCTCCTTCATCAATTTCATCTGTTCCCGATATTTCAAGTTGTCAGATATGGCGCGCCGTATTCCGGCCACTTCGCTTTCAGACTTCTGTATCGCGAGAATTCTTTCTGCTGCTTCATCCTTCTTTGCTTGCATTCCGCCAACATCTGCCCGCAGTTTTGATATTTGACGCACGCACTTTTCCAGCTTTCCTGGAACGTCGGCCTGGATATATCGCTCCACTTCGTTCCTGTGGTTATTCACGGTCGCAATATGTCCGCGGAGCTCTTGGATGGATTTTGTGAAAGAGCTTTCTTCGCGAGAAGCCTTGTCGCGTGCCGCGGCCATTTCTTGCTCAATGGCCCGGATGCTAGGACCAAGTTGCGCAATTGCCGCATCGGCCACCTGGGCGTGTTTCGTCAGGGAAAGCCAATTGTGAAGTGAAGTGCGCAAAACACACCTCGATATCCTTTGAAAATTTTTCTATTTCCTTTTTCAGCTCCGCAATGGTACTTTGCAGTTCTTCGCGTTGATTCCACAGGTGCGTTTTCGACTGCAGGTCCTGCTTCGCGTTCTGCAAGCTCTTTTCGTGGGACGCAATTGTGTTCTGGTTGTTGAATCTCTCGGCGTTGACCCTCGTAATATCATGCCGCAAATCAGCACTGTTTTTTTTTTGGTAGAATTACAAAAAGAACACAAGAATACGTCGGCAAAAAAACAAACTATGACGTACAGGGCAATGTTGACCGCATTTATCTCCGCCTGCACATCGCTCTGCATTCGCTCGCCGTCAACGCTGCCGGTCTTGTCGCTTTCCAGCGCTTGCACCTCGGCGTGAACAGCCGCCAGATCGGCATCCGTTTTCAGGACGTCGTCGCACACGCGGCGCAGGTCGGCGATCCCGTCAATCTCCGCAGCGAGCACCGCGCAGTCTGCCTCGAGATCTTCGACCACGGACGCGAGGTCTGCGCGCGCAGCGTCGAACTTGCGCTGCTCCGCTTTTGTGGCCGGGATCTCCGTGTCGCGGATTTTAGCCACTTCATGGAAGGACGGTTTGAGCGCCGTGAGCTGCTTCAATCTGGCGGCCTTGTCTGCCACTATCGCCGCCTGCGCAGCTTTGTTGGGTATTTTGCCAAGCGAATCGTTGAGCTTGTTCCAACGACCAAATCAATAGGAAAATCAGTTGCGAAGATTAACCTTACTCGTTTCAGAAACGTCTGCGCCTCACTCTCACTGGGAAACGCGCGGACACAGAGTGGACAGCATCTACCAATGTAGAACATGAGAATCAAAACAAACAAAAAAGAAGCACTAACTTGTCACGGTTGAAAATCCGCATATACTTGTTCAACATGACCATTCCAGCATTAATGGTTTGTTCGGCGCTGAGAATATACGATGATAATCAGCCCAGAATGAAAGAAAACCAAACAGTACTTTAATTCGTCGTGATAATCCTGTTCAGCTTCTTCGACAGAATGCAAAAAGTCAGTCCCGCCACAGGCTTCGTTGATTGCTTTCGACTTTGAATCGACTTCTTTTGACAAATTTTGCAACCGCGTCTTGCTCATAGAAATTTTTGCTTCCAGCGCTGAAATCTCTTTTGATTTTGCATCCAGTTCCATCTTTTTCTTTGCAAGCTCCGCATCCTTGTTCCTAATAACACATATGTAGAAAATCAACGCTAACAAACAGAAAAACCTGTGTTGAGCGGCAATAATGGCCGAACACGTCGTCAAATCAGCGTCGGAATGAAAGAGTTTTCTAAATTCTGTCTTGAACGAATCGAATCTGTGAAACAAGTTGAAGCACTTCGACACTTGCGAACCTACTTACAGCGAACCGAAGGCTTCTTGCTTCCTTTTCTTTTCCTGAATTTTCAATCCTAATTTCGCTCGACTTTCCGACTGCGTATTCAATGCCGCGACTTCCGCGCTTAACTGAGCAAAGAGCCGTTCTTTCACCGAAACTTCATGGTTAAGCTTCTGCAGCTTACTCTCGTATTCCGCTGCAGTATTGCACCGACTCAGCTGAGCGATGTATTCTTCTTCTTGGGTTATTTTCGCCTTCAGCTCAGCCAGCTCCGATTGGGTGACTTGCAGGGACTGCATTTTCGCTGTGATATCCCGAATTTTGCGTTGATTAAGATCCTGCGTTTAAGCGGTTGTTGAAAGTTCTGAAAGGCCGTCCATCCATTATGAAAACAAACCATTCGCTCTTTCAGCATTTTCTTAGTCTCCTGCTGGGATGCTAAGCCGCCTTGTACTTTTTGCAGTCTAGCTGAAATGATTGATGATTCGGTTTGTGCATCTGACTGAAAGCAATGAGGAGATTAATTGTCTCGATCTGTACTCCAAAAAAAACTAGTATTCTTACTCACTTTCGCGGCATCGAGTTTTCGCTGCTGTGCTGTCATGTGGTCGGTTAATGTGGTGACGAACCGGTGCAAATCTTGGTCATTCAAGGGAACCGAAAATCCCCGGATATTTGCTTGCTTGGCTATGGTAGAAACCATATCGTCAGCTTGATCAACCTTGCGCGCGTGCGCCTTGAAACTATCATGTAAGGCGTAAAGGATCCTTATCAACTGGACTTACATCCAGCTCTGCCTGAAGTTGTCCCTTTGTGATCAAGAGCGCGGATATTTCGTTTTCTATTGCCACAATTTGTTTTGTGAGAGCAGTAGATGACTCAGTCAGTTTATGCAGCTCTTCTTGCTGCACTTCAATTGAATCTTCGTATTGGCTCAGCATGGCCTTGAGTTGTTCGTCGGTATCTGGGTGCGCTCGTTGGAAAAAGCTCGACAACAGGAAACTAAATAACCCTCGTAAATTTCAATCGTTCGTCTCATTTCTTGGAGCGAATTCTGCAGCATATTTCTGCGAATTTCGCGAGTTTGGATTTCAGAGTAGAGATCTTGAAGTTTTTGCTGTTCGCGTTCGAGATGCCGCAGCTGGTTCGAAACTTCAGCTATTTCGCCATTTTCCAATTCCAATTTCCGAGATTTGGCGGCTGTGATGCGTTCCTGAATGTCGCGTTTGTCGCGATGGAGCTTTCGAACGAAATTCGAAGTTAACTGGAACAAATACAATAACGACAGCAAAAAATTTGTAGTACAGTGTCAGCGCGTTCCTTGTCGGCTTTCAGATGATTAAGTTCGCCCTGGTCTATCTTTATCTGCACTGCCTGGTCTTTTCGCAAATCCTTGATGGACGCGAGGGCCTTGGTGTAGCGCGTGGAGGCAAAGATTTCGTCGAATCGCTTCTTCAAGGTTGCGGGCTCTGACAGCGGCCAGAAAGATTCTTCCTGGTGGCAGAAAATGACACTGTCGAGGATCGCGCGCGAAACGCCGAGCTGCTCGGGAATGGCTGCGTCCAGCTCGGCGCACTTGGATGTAATGCTAACCATCTTCATTGCGCAAGCAAATCGAAGATCAGACTTGGTGCGAGCCAATGAACAAGCGCAAAAAGGATGATGTTACC